TTCCCTTCCTTTCCCATCCTTTCCCTTCCTTTCCCTTCCTTTCTTTCCCTTCCTTTCCCTTCCTTTCCCTTCCTTTCCCTTCCTTTCCCTTCCTGTCCCTTCCTTTCCCTTCCTGCCCCTTCCTTTCCCATCCTTTCCCTTCCTTTCCCTTCCTTTCCCATCCTTTCCCTTCCTTTCCCTTCCTTTCCCATCCTTTCCCTTTCTTTCCCTTCCTTTTTCCTTCCTTTCCCTTCCTTTCCCTTCGTTTCCCTTCCTTTTTCCTTCCTTTTTCCTTCCTTTCCCTTCCTTTCCCTTCGATTCCCTTCCTTTCCCTTCCTTTCCCTTCCTTTCCCTTCCTTTCCCTTCCTTTCCCTTCCTTTCCCTTCCTTTCCCATCCTTTCCCTTCCTTTCCCTTCCTTTCCCTTCCTTTCCCTTCCTTTCCCTTCCTTTCCCTTCCTTTCCCTTCCTTTCCCTTCCTTTCCCTTCCTTTCCCTTCCTTTTTCCTTCCTTTTTCCTTCCTTTTTCCTTCCTTTCCCTTCCTTTTTCCTTCGTTTCCCTTCCTTTCCCTTCCTTTCCCTTCCTGTCCCTTCCTTTCCCTTCCTGTCCCTTCCTTTCCCTTCCTTTCCCTTCCTTTCCCTTCCTTTCCCTTCCTTTCCCTTCCTTTCCCTTCCTTTCCTTTCCTTTCCCTTCCCTTTCCTTTCCTTTCCTTTCCTTTCCCTTGCACCCACGCCGTCCGCACACCACCGTTCGAGCCAGGTCGCTCCCCCACGCGGTTAAACAACTAAACGAGAACCCAAGCATCGAAGATGCTTTTGGGAAAAACATAGTAACAATCCGGATCTTTGTTGGCTTTACCCCCATTTTATTGTTGGTCAATTCTCCCTGTTTAATGGCCGCAATTGGCAAAAGAAACGGGTCTTTCTGCAGTTTCTAACTAGTGCTAGAGACAAAGCAAGTCTATCAGTGCATTGTTGTATCTGCAACCAATTCTTATCAATTCTTCATTTCGCTAAAAAAGTGCTTTTCCAGGCCGCACTGTTCCAGGATATTCATGGATACAGTTTCAATTGGATGATGGGAAAATTTTAACCGGAAACCCCGATCAATTTGATGGTAAAAACCCATGGGTTTCCGGTTAAGATTTTCCCAACAAAACCAATCCATTGATGGATAGATACCCTCTGGTAAACTAACATAGCTCTAGAAAATCACCATTTTTAATGGGAAAATTCACTATTTCAATGGTCAGTTTCAATATGTTTCAGCAGTGGATCCTTCAACGAAAGGTCCGGTCAGATCTGTTCCATCCCAAGGGTCCCCAGGGTCGCCTCCGCTGGCTTGTCGCGGGCCTGCGACGATGGCGAGTCAAGCTGTGGATCGTTTTGTAAAGTGGAGGTTTTTTAGCTGGGAACATCCAGAAATGAAGGTTTTAGGGGAGAAATATGAGAAAAACATCTATAAATGAGGGATAAGCTATGGATTACTGTCACTTGTTGGTGGGTGGATCGCTTTTACAGCTACACAAGGCCTCTTGGGCGGTCCCGCGAAGTCGCGAGAGGTCAGAAACATCATGAAACATCCAAGTCTGGGACCTGGACATGTCACATCAATGACCACCAATGATCATCAAGGATCATCAATGTACCTCTTGTTTGTGGAACAAACAAATCATCCTGCCTTTAAGATCCCTTCCAAGCTCACCAAGCTCTTGGTCCCCCATACCCGTGGCACCTTTTTGGCCGCCGCCAGGTAGTCTTCTGCCACCCTCAGGCCTGGCACAAGAAATTCATGGTTCCTTAAACTATCTTTAAAATACTAAAATGCCACAATAAACCTATCATTTGGGGATGGTTCAAAAACTATGCATGGTGATTTTTAAGGGATGGTTTATGACCTTGGGTTTACCGCACTGTTGGTTTTTCCCCATGAACGAAAACCAAAAAACATCAACATTCTGCCCCACTTATGATTGGCTGTACCACATCTCTAAATCATAACCCACATCCATCCAAGTATCCAAGTCCACCCACAGTTCGGTCGCCACCCCTTCCCGAGACGAGGGATCCCGCGGCAGCGCCTTCTCGGGACTCACCCTTTCGGATGTAGGCCCGAGCCAGAGTATCCATGACCTGTGTCGTATGGAACCCAGCCGAGAAAGAATGGCGATTCACTGGCTTTTATTGTTCATGGGAAAAAACCAACAGTGCGGTAAACCCAAGAATATTCACCATCCCTTACACATCACCATGCATAGTTTTTGAACCATCCCCAAATGATAGGTTTATTGTTGCATGCTGACTTTAGTTCGCTCATTTGGAGAACTGGATTTGGCTTTGATGGTGATTCCTAGGGATTCACCATGAATGGTGATGTAAATCATCAGCGGCTAATTGTCCATGGCTGAATTACCAAAGGATATACCTAAAGTATATGTGCCATCGTCAAAAAGTTGTCTATTTTCCCAATGGGGATGGTTATCTTCGGTAAAATAAAAGGGTTCATAAGACAATTTTAACGAATGGTTAATGATGATGGGATGAGTATACCCCAAATACCATGTTTTCACAATGGCACAAATATATACAAATATGTATATAGCTGTATGACCCCATTTATGGCAACAATTCAACTCTTAAACTATAATCAAACCCAGGCTACCGTACGCAGCAATGTGGTAAAGTCTGAGATCGTGGCGGTGGTCCAAAAAATATTACAGCTAAGCTTAAGATATCACCATTGTAGGGCCTTCATAAACCTCAACAAATATCAAACTTTCAGAAAAAAAATGTTGGGCAAGATGGGGATTGGTCAAAACTTATTACCATATTTGCAGTTTATGAACATCTGAACATCCATTTACATTCATGTCCCCTTTACGGTCAAATAGTGTTACTAGCGACCCTGAGGGTCATCCAAAATATCAGACAATGACTCCCTAAACCTACCTGCCCATTGATTTATATACTGTAATAGCGAGTATTTATCATACAGATTGTGCAAATTGCATTTCCATCATCTATATATACATACCAATACATATCATACATACATGCACATTATACATATGTGTGTAATATCTATCTCTATGTATGTATATATATATGTATATTGTTGTTTGTAAGATCGAATGTACTGTATACAGAATACGATCATATTAGCTTTCGGCTTCCCATACTGAATACAACCCAAACCGTTGGGGATGGCTTTGAAGAAAATGGAAACCCCAACACTGTGTAGGAATGTCCCTTACAGATCCATTGTCTGTCCCAAAATATGGGCCCCCTATAAATTGATGGTGTATCATCTATATAATCAAATTACCTAAGATTGGGGCACATCCCCAAGTTGAGACAAATCCATATGGGACTGTATGAAAAAGGGCTACCCCCAATAAATATCATACACGGTCATTGGAAGGAAATTTGGTGATAAACCATTGGATTTTAGGGTACCAGTCATGGATTAACCATGGGGTACCCTAAGATTGGTATATCATAGTGTTCATGGTATCCCTTGGTATATCATAGTTATTACCATTAAACCAGTATCATAGTTATTACCATTAACCATAGTTATCAAGCATTAACCATAGTTATTAACCATTAACCATGGTATATCATAGTATCATAGTATTCATGATTAACCACCAAGATAAATGGACATTTTGGCGGGTGAAAGTTCCCCAATGCCATGACGTGACGTCGGCGCCTCCAACTCCCCCGTGATGTTTCCCCGCTCTTTGAACAAGGCTCGGGCGCACAGCGCAGACCTTGGTGACTCAGCAAAGGGAAGGAAGAATGGCTCAATACTGGCTCAGGTTGGTAGTTTAGCCCTCTCTCACTTAGCATTTTTTGTGTATACTAGGCGGAGATGACATAGGACTTGTGGGCCTATATTTTTTAGGTACTACAGGCACATGACATAGGAGTTACGAAATTTTGGGCAGATGACATAGGACCCCAAGTTGAAAATCAGTTAATTCCAAAATTTTGCTTTTGGAGCTCTCTGGAACCAGATGACACAGGAGTTGTGTCCAACATATTGTCGCTAGTCCTGAGACATGTGTCCAAATGATATAAAAAACGATTTTTTCACTGATACCCAAAAAAATCTGATCAAACGCCGCATCGACTCATGACATGGGAGTAGCAACCATCCCGCTGCAATGTTCTTTTTCCCCATCTTGGATTTGCAGTTTCTACTGCTTCTCGAAATCCATCAGATTTTGCATCTGGATTTTCCAAGAGTGCATGTCATGGAGATGCGGGTTTTCCGCCATGTGTGTGCGAATCACATACCGCAGCACCTTCGCAAGGCACTGCATGGGTGTTCGCCCATAAACGCTCCAAGACACATTTTTTGTGGCCTGGTTAGGGTATCGTGCGCTCCAGAAACTCTTTGCCGGGTGGCGGCTGATGCCGCACCCAGCCAGCTCCGGGAGCCTGACGAGTGTCACATTGCGCTCTGCCTCAATCAGACAAAGCTGCGTCCACTCAGGTGACTGATCATAAAGTTTTGGCTTTGCCAAATGTGATGCACCACCTCCTGCTGCCTTGCCCAAATCACCACCGGGCTTCTCTGACTCATCGTCCTGCTTCGGGTCCTCTGACTCATTGTCCGAATCTGATCCTGCATCCTCCAAGCCGCTGCTGGCGTCAGACTCGACGCCGTGGCTCGAGCTTTCTCCATCTTCACCAAGACCTTCTGCCATGTTGGCAGCCAGCACATCTGCGGGCATGACCATGCCTCCATGACCTTCTTCTTCTTCCTCTGCATTCCCATCGCCATCTGCATCTTCATCGTTTTCACCCTTCTCAGCTTCATCCTCACTGTCAGCATCGCTTTCGTCATCGCCTCTCAAATGGGCACATGACTCAGGAGTTGCGTTGAGACAAAACCCTTTCCGGGTCTTCCTGATGCTCAAACTAAAGGTTTACTTCTTCAAAGTGCTTAAATATAACTACTGTCATTCCTATCTCATCTGGCTATGGATGAATCTTCCCACATATTTCAGCAAGACACAGAATTGCGTTTGAATATCTGCATGTATGCAAAGGTCATGTATGTCTGCATGTTCGTCATATATGTCAGATAGTCATAGGTCACCTAGCTATGTATTCCCGTGAGTCACTGCATTGTGTGCACAACTCCTGGGTCATCGGCTAATGGTAGCATGTGTCGTGGAAACCGAAACAACTTACCAACTACGCCCACCTGCGTAGGCTTCTCGCAAGATGTCGAAACCGTTTCTTTGCGCACCTGCAGTCACACACCTGAGTGGTTGGCGGGGGTAGTGCTTGCTGTAGATGTAGTACGTACCCTCGCCTGCAGGATCTGCTTCATTGGAAACCTCAAACTCGACCCGGATCAGCTCAAAATGGTTGTTTTTGCGAGTGCCTTCTACGAACTCAAGCTTTCCCTTCATCATTTGAGTTGCCCTCTTCACCCATGATGATTTCGCGATAGTGGCATGCTTCTTGTCATACACGATCGTCTGGATCTTCTTGTTCGTCTTGGCAAGTTTGCTTTCCCAATCTGCTGGCTGCTTCTCCCACAACACCTTCCGCAGCCGGCGATGGTGACATACAAGTCGCTCAACTATGACTGCCAACAAGCTAGGCAGCGCTGCCAGCCGCCCATCAATCTCAACTGGCCAATACCACCTCCAGGGTGGCACTCACAACTGTTTATTCTCTGCCCAGTGTCACCGGCCCACTCAAAAGCCACATGTCCATAGGATGTGATACTAACATTATAATTCACAACTCCTGTGTCATCAGTATGTTCTTTCTGGTGATATGTCTTTATGCAGCCAAAACCAATGTATTAAAATAAGTCCAAAAAAACATTTCGTTTCCATGGCGTCATGAGACAGGAGATATGCAGCTGCGCATGTCCAACCCGATTCCCAAAGCCCAGCCTGTTCCCTTGCATTTCCTCACCAACCCGATCCGATGGCAATTGAAACGCTTGTAGCATGCCTGTTTCATCCAGGGTCCTGCATGCGTCCTCATGGGACATTCTCACGCCACCTTCGAAGTGGGCATCATCAAAGTACCCTGTTGCCTGCCAGGAGGCTTGGAAAGCTTTTTGCGGCCTAAGAGCGACATCCGGTTGATTGGAGCGACATCCAATCCCGTCAATCAGAATTACTTCTTAGTCTTATGACTTCCCGTTTGCCTTGCATGCTAAACTGATAACACATGACACAGGACTTCCCCACCCGAAAACAAAGTTTGAAAGACCCGGAAGGCTCATGACATGGGAGTTGAGCGTGCAAGAATGAGCTGTTAACTGAGCCTCTGACACGCTGCGCCATGCTTGGAGCGTACGCTCCGGAAGGCCTTTGTTGAAGGGTTTCGGTCTCTCTGGTTGTCCGCTGGCCTTGATCGCCATCTCGGAGTAACCTGAAAGCAGCATCCCCCTTCTCACAAAAACGTTCTGGCGAGGAAACATTACATAAACATCTACATTATACAATAAATATATGTATTTATATATATATATATCATATATGCACATACTGCCAAAAACTTGAAAATGGCCATGCTCCCAAAATACTGTTTTTTTGACATGTTATGTGGAAAGTTTACTGTGCTTACAGTAGACAAATAAGTATAAATATATATATAATATATATATATATGCATTTCCCCATGGTAAATTTCAATGCGCTGTCAATCCACAATGCATCCTAGATTCGCGCACGATCTCGTAAATCCGCTGGGCAGTCTACATCGTTGGAATCAACCAAATCGAGCCTCGCCCTCAAAATATGGTGCAGCTGGTCGACAGGTTGCCCGTGAGCTGAAAAACCTCCTGCTTGGAGGTCTGGCAGAAGCACGTTCGCGCTTTTGCTCCTGAATGCTTCCATCATCTTGATCCAACATAACACATGACATAGGATACACCAACCAACCAGTGAGTTTCATAGATAGCTCAAAGGATGCCGATTCGTTAAATACAAGGAAAAATGCACACATGTCACAGGAGTTGTTGAACTATCAAGTTAGATCAAGTTAGTAAAGCATTCCACCGGTGTATCACACGAACACCTGACTCAGGAGTAGACATATTAGCTGCATGTTCCAATCATATATCTTCTACATCTCAAATTACCAAAAACAGAAACAAATCAAAGAACACATGCGACGAGGGTCCAGGCTTGTCGAGCTGTGTCGGTTCCATCGCGAAATGCGTGGAATCCGCTCCAAGCGTCTGCTAAAACCAAGCCAGGCACGGAATGATCCAAGGAGTACTTCTTCCGTTGCTTCTCGAATGCGCTGCTAAGAAGCCCGTGGCACAACGTCAGGAATGTGCCTGCAACCATGAAGTGCCCACGCGACTCGCTGGAGAACACGAACATCTCGCCAGAGTACTTTTGGTTCAGTTCTTCAACGTAGCTGTCTTTCAAGAACGACTCTGGAATGCAGAGACCAAGAGGTCCTCTGGTTCCATCACTCCAAACACTTGTCACTGCAGTGACACTTTGGCGTGATCCGCCGAAGAAATCAGCACGCGACACCAAATGGCCATGTTGTTTCTCTCCTTGGCTTCCAAGGCACTAGTCCTATGTCATTGCACCTTTTGATCAACAAAACGTATATATAAACTTCAAATGAGCAACAAACCTCTAAGAAAATGATATATATATATATATGTATGTACATGTATTATATATATACCTATCTATTTCTAATGTATGTACATGTATGTAACAATACGCAAACAAATATTGATTTTCATGACAAGGAACTCTGAGGGCCCTTCATGTACTGGTGCTTACTGAACCGTAGCGCCTGTCTCCACACCTGATCTAGATTCAAGATAAGATATTTGTGGACCTTGTCATTGGCGATGTGGTCGTGCACTTGCTTGCGGGCAGCTTGAAGTCTGCAATCAGACCACTCCTGAGGGCAAACAAGCGGCTTCAAATACGAAATTCAATAATGCTTACGATCCCAACTCCTATGACATCTACTGAATTAGTGATATGCAACTCCTATGACATCTACTGATTAAGATCTCAACTCCTATGACATCGCAACTCCTATGTCACCTGACGCTAAAAATAAAGATATCAATACATATCATGTCATCAAGAATCCAGATACTGCCCACTGGTGTTGCGGCTAGCTCTGCGCCAGTTGAAGGCTGTAAGCCACCGTCGGCAAAAGCGACGCCCAGCATTTTCTGGACACTTCTCAGGAATTGGCAGCAAACTCTTCTTGATGTGCTTTTGATGCACCCCAGCTTTAGTCATCTCATCCTGGACCTTCAAGTTGTGTTGCTGGACTTGTTCGATGGCTGCTTCGCGTTGTATTCTCTGGCTAGCTTGTTCATGGTGGTCACCTTAAGAGACAGGAAGTCACAGGTCATGTGCTTCTTGTGTGTTCGATTCTACAGTGCCTGCACACCAACTACATTCATCTAATGGTCTGGCAAAAAGTTCTATGTCACCTGCCATCTGTGATTTAAATATATATAATTATATATATATATATGTGTGTGTAAAGTACTAGTGTAGCAGAACATTCGCCAAGGAACACAATGACGCAAGAGAACGACATCACGCCTTTGGCACACCACGCTGTTACCCAGACTGAACTCCTGCATTGTCGCCTCCAGTTCCTGCTAGCTCGGCAAGCATCGGCTGACAACTCTCAAGTCATATGCACAATCGATGATATGGTTCCAGCACATCTGCTATCTATACATAACATACCGCTAGAGAATACCACAAGATGAAAAACAGGGGAAAACATGCAACAAAAAAGACACAAACCAACAGTTGGAAACAACAAAGGGGTCCTCAGGGCTACCTTGAAATCGCCTTGGCTCATACTCCATGTAGTTTTTGTATGCACGTATGTATATTAAACTAGTTGTCCATTAGTCCTGTGTCATCAGGTAACCTGTCAAAACTGATAGTATTGAAATCGCAAAGTGTTTGTATTACTCCTATGTCATCCACCTCTACGTTTCTGTCCTCAAGAACAGGCGTTGGAATGTTGAGTCGCGGCAGCGCTTTCGAAGCCTCCAAACGCTTCTGCAATTCCTTTGGGCCCAGTGCCTTGTAGCCTTTGATAGAGTCGAGTCCCAAAGACAGTTTGACAGCATCTGGAAGCTGGTAGAAGCTCTTCTGCTGCTTCTCGGTGAGAAGCCTCCATTTCTGGTCGGTGCACTGTTGCCTAAGGACACAAACCTTGATGCCACCAAGCTTGGCACCAAAATGTTCCTTGCATTTTGCTTGGAGATTCAGTCCTCGGATGTATTCTCGGGCTGGCTTTGTCTTCTTGTTCCTGCTGCTCGTGGGCTCTGGGTTCAGCTGTTGAGCCCATTCGATCAACTTGTCTGAGTAGTCAACGATCTGCAGTTTCTCAAAGATTGTTAATCTTTGAGCCGCTTTCTTCACCTACCAATGCTGAAAAATTGTCTATGAGAAAACAAATCCCATGACATGTGTTTTTGAGCTAAACAGATGTTTGGCAATCAAAACAAAAACTTCACCTACCACTGCTGAAATGGTCTATGAGAAAACAAATCCCATGACATGTGTTTTTTGAAGCTAAACGGTTGCTTGGCAATCAACAAAAAAACACATGACATAAGACAAAATGTTACATTCAATTCGTCCCTGCCTCTGGCAGGGACGACTCCTCTCCCCGAATCTTTTTGGGTTTCTTCACACCCTGACGAACCCGGTTGATCTGATTTCTCCTCGCTAGTTTGGTGTTCTTCACACTGGGATCCTGAGAACGAACCATAATCTCTTCGCAAGTTTTCTTGGCAACAGCATCTCTGCGCTCCTGCGCCTTGTCCAAGCGCTTCCGAACGTCAACGTAGTTCTGCTGGACGGACGCGTGTTTTTTTTCTTCGCACCCAACTCGTCCGCCACCTCCTTCTCCACAAAGTAGGCGGCTTTGACCAACACAGCTGAGGGCATGGGGATGTGGCCAAACTCAGCAACATGTGATGAATCCCCTTGCAACTGATCTTCCTCTGCATGGGTAGCCCATCGTGGAATGAACTCATCCCTGATGTAATCATCGACCGTCCCTTCCACTTTGGCTGCGAGCTCCAAGGCGCTTATGTCCTGATTGCGGAACACTTCTGGCAGTCGCGCCAACTGCGCAGTGAACTGAGCTAGCAACGCCACACGTGGCTCAAGCTCTGCGATCTCTTGGCATAGCTTTCCCAGCTTCTCTTCTAGACTTTCACATTTGCGTTTGCCTGTTCAGGGCTGCCCAACTCCTGTGTCACATGAGTCGCATGTGTCCAAGTATGTTATATTTATCTTTGCCATAAACTAGTAGTATTGTTCAATGAATACCAATATCCTATGTCATCTGCTCCTGCTTCATCATCAGCAATGTTCCCAAAAAAAAACTTTGAGAACATGTTGAGATATATCCTATGTCATGTGCTCTTTTCTCAGCATCTTTAAGGTACGTAAGTAAATCCACCAACATGTATATACACACCATGCCTGCACCAGTTCTCTGCTGAGCTATCGCGATCCCGGTTTTCGATTCATCTTCTGCAAGAGCGATCCTTTTCGAAGCAACTCCAGCAGCAAACTGCTCAACCTCGCCTTTCCTTTTGCAACCTCTCCTGGTTTCAGGTGTTTTACCCTTGAATGCAGGACATCAAAAATGATTGCAAAAGAAAAATATTGAAAGTATATGAGAATGTCAAGCGGCAGGTGGTCTGGTCTACAACAAGAAACATGAAAAACAAAGATATGTAGAACAAATACAAGGCTCTTGTCGTCTGGCAAATACCGAAAGCCACCGCGTAGCACCGAATACTTGCCCTTGGTTACGACTGAAACCTGCAGGGAAAGAACCACTAAGTGAGAACCCATGTCTTCGTTTTGTTGATGAATATGAAAACGTTACTGCGCCTGACGCATGTATATGCAACTCATTTTTTATGGCCTGCATGGATGTCCTCGCATACATCAAACAACTATATATATGTAGTATTCAGAACCTATGTCAAATGTTTTCTGGCAACACACTTGCATGTCAGATCCCGGCCTTCACTTCTTTGCCAAAGCTGAGAAAAGATTCATCCGTCCAATCTGAAGAACACGTGAGTGTAGAAGGCTGCCCGGGAACAACCCTGCCAACAAAAAGTTCATCATCCACATCTGCATAAGCTTGCTGAAGAAACTGCGGCAAGTCGATGTCATTGTCCTTCTCTAACAGCACTCCCCAGAGATGATACATAGGATGCGCCGCGATATCATCCGAGATTGTGTGCAAGGTAAACATTGCGGCTGGTCCCATGATCACGCGAGCAATGAGTTTTCTGTGAATTTTGGGACGAGACACCATCAAGTCGCCTCGCGCAAGCCATGCGACACATGACTTGGGATTTGCCAAACAAAATCAGCCCCGACAAAGAATCGCCAGCACATGCACATGTGATGTGAAGCATATGTAAGCATCGCATCCTATCTCATCTGATCGTGCATGTGCAACACTATTGATATATAATATTATATTATTATAACTCCTATCTCATCTGCTCTCTGGTTTCACCTGTCCCTATGTCATGCATGCCTTCCCCCCTGCCCGGCCTGCCAATAGAAAGGCCACTTGTTTTTCACCGTCCTCTATTCCCTTGAAGCCATCCAGAACTTTCACCAGAGTAGCAACTGGAATGATGCCATCAGTTCCAGCTTGCACTAGCTCGGCTTGATTCTCACGATTCGTGTCTTTCAATGCCGGTCCATCCTTTGCATCAGTGAAGAAGGCAGTGTTGTCTTCACCGCCCCCCGGAATGGCAAAGGATTGTCGCCCAAAAACAAAAGGCTCTGGTTGCTCACCACTTTGTCCTTCTCCACCTTCAGGAGCATCAGCTGGTGCTTCTTCTGGTTCTTTGGGTGGGTCTGGTGGAGGTGGCAAAGGCGGTTCTGCCTCTGACTTGGGAGCTGTCTCCAGGTTCTTGAGATCTGTCTCGGGGTTCTTGGGGAATGTTTCAAGGTTGAGTTGGTCCTCGATCTCTCTGCCAAAATGGTCGGCGATCCGGTACTTCAACACATCCATGTTCCCCGTCTTCTTCAAACCCAGGCTGTTGCATTGATCGACGAGTTCTTGCCTTACAGCCGGTTTGTCCTGTGTCATGTGCCTAATGTGTGCGTGAACATGAAAAGTGAAACATAATTTCATTAGGAAAAGCCCTTCAACATAATACACAATCCTATGTCATATGTCCAAATCTGCATGAAAAGTTCCCATGTCACGTGCATATACGTGCATCCTAGAGTCTTCCTGGCCGTGTCTAAGAGCTTGATTTTCTTTTCGAGGCGCGCTCTAAAAGTTTCTGCCATCTGCGCACAAACCCAAAGATCCCGACCGGCTGAAACTCTGAAAGACTTCTGGCAGGCCCCCACGTTGACGACGCAACTTTTGCGATTAACTCGCAGGTGCTTGTACTTTGCCGCAATCTGTGCAGGGAAACTAGCTAAACCCAACGTGGAATGACCGGTCATTATCAGATGCCTCAAGAGTAACGATACTGTATGAAATGATATATATATATCTGTTGAGTCCCCCTAACATAACCAACGTAAACACATGTGCACATATCCTATGTCATGTGCACATATCCTATGTCATTTAGCACTGAAGTCCCTGTGTCCACGAGAACTGATTGAAGCATTGAACCGGCCTCCTTTGGACCTGTCAGCGTGTCGGCTTCTCCGTTTGAAGTTGCAAGGCTTGTAGCGGTCGTTGACTTTTTGATCTTGGGGCTTGCGCTCACATCCTTTGAGTCCTTGCTCTGGCTGGTCGGTTGGCAACTTGAACTCGAGGTAGCTGCTGGCAATTCTTCAGATGAGCCCTTGGCAAGCGGCACAATGCGATCGCTACTCTCGTCCAGAATCTCTTCAGCGCTCGCATGTTGCAAGAAGTTGCAGACAAGGCTTTTTCTCAAAGACTCCATGTTGCCCTTCTTTCCAACACCCGCATCACTACAACGTTGGACGAGCGTGGTCCTGTCGACAAGCAGCTGCAACATTGCATCTGAAATATTCTGAAATTAAAGTGACATAGAGTGTATATATATATACATATGTTTGGACAAGCCAGTGCACATGTTTGATCATCTATGAGAAATAGTTATATATACTGGGTACAGATGGGATAGGAGTTGTCGGAGGGTCCAGTTTTTTGATTTCCCATCTCAAAGTATTGTTTTTGCCCTTTTAAGGTGCCAAACTCCTATCTCATGCGGTTCTATTAGTCATTTGAAGCATACCTGCATCAAGTTTTTACATTCCCACGGTTTATGGTTTTTAATGCTATAGGCTACAGCTTGGACACATGAGATAGGAGTAAGGGCTGACTTGGGGTATGTTCACATAAAACATGTGTTGGGACTGTAGCATATATAAAAATCTTTTGTTATTGGTATCCCGCCCTGCTGTCCTGTTCATTTTGGACATCGGATCCCACAAACGATCAGCGCATTTCTTGTAGGAACCTGCCATGACAGCAGCTTTGTCCAAAGTGTCAACGTCGTCTGGCACGTGGAAACTCTGTTTATACCCGAAGCCCTCGTAGATTGCACAGTCTTCAAGTACCTGGATTCCAACAGCTTGTTCCTGTACCTGAGGCGAGGAGCTTATGTTCCTACAATGGACTGATGACATAGGAGTTGCATAGTAATTTGTTTGTTAAGATGATTCTGAAGTCCTGATGTCATAGGATTTGCCGATTCTGAAAAGCAACCCAATCATTGGAGATCACAACAGTACATATTCTAATATATATATATATGTAGATGTACGTATAATACCACATATATATATATATCTATATATGTATATACAACTCCCAACTGACTGGCTTGATTCAAAACCTCAGATGATCGATATGTACAACAATTCGTCTCAAGAAGCGAGTATCATGACGCCTAACCTGGCCTAACCATTGACATTAAACACGGTAACACCTACAACTCCTAAGTCATGACACCGATCTGAAAACAATTTTTTTTTGGTAAGACCATGCCTGTTTGAGAAACGCACTGCTGTCGCAACTGGGAGCGTTCTTCCTCCAAATCAATCGAAAGTGCGACACGTGCTTCCCAGAACCATCACGCGAAGCGACGTTGCTCAACTCCAGCAGGGGCAATGTTGGATCACCCATGCATGTCAGAGGACCATCAGTCATGCCATGCACGGCTATGCGAAGGCCGATCGCTTGCGCAAAGTTTTGAATGTCCTCATGCTCAGGCATCTTGAACTTGTTGAACTTGTCGAGGCACTCCTTCATGCCACTCGCTGAAGCATGCCGGCGGTTGATCTGGCACATGAAGTCTGCCACCAAAGTTTCCTGTCTGCTGGCCCAGAGTTTGCCAAACACACGGCCAAATGTTTACGTTATATATGTACATACATGTATGCGCGCATGATCATGCAAATGATCGAACACGAGCAATGAATGCATATCATTATGCATGCACATCCCAACAATCACTAGTGGGGCACATGAGATAAGACTTTGAGTGACCTATCACCTAACGCCTTGCACCCACACTATAAACACGACGGTTGTGATGATAAAGTCTCCTCGTGCTTCTGTCTTGCCTTTTCCGCAGCAAAGCCTTGCTGATTCCGTTTGATGGACATCCAAACTTCCTTTTCCTCGGAACTCAGGCACCACAGGTAGCAGCAACTGAAAAAACATCTTCCATCAGCGGCCGGCCCAATGATCACTGTCTCCTGCGGCACTGCGGGAACCTGCGGCTTGTTCTTGCCATCATGGATCTGGATGCTTGCAAATGCAGTCAATAAAGCCAAGCCAGCACACGCAACATGCTGCCCATTCCCCACAGCAGCGTGTAGGTTCGACAAAGCAGAAGTATCAAACTCCTTAGTGGTCACTATGGCACATGACTCAGGACTTACACTTACGTCCTGGAACGAAGTGAAACAACTGGCACAACATGACATAGGACTTGCAGACTCATGACAAATTCCAAACACAGAACAGTAGTACTGTTCAAATACAATACCCAAAGCATAATTGCAAATACTCATACATACCTGCATATCTGCGCACTTGTTCTATGCTTTTCTTAATATGCACATGTACATGTATGCATATATTTCCATACATGTATATGCATGTTTATATTGCTGCTGAAGCGCTGGAACACCCATGGCCGCTGCAAGTTCTGGCGTGACTGGCCACGAATGGCCAATGAATTTCTCCTTTCCGAGAAGTTTGCGGTTGAGGCCTCTCAACCAGGTCACCTTGTCTTTGTGCGTGAAGGTGTTGAAGGCTCCATTGCGAGACATCTTGCAGCAAAAATCGGGATTCTGGTCCAAAATATATGCCTGCAAGAAGTGCGACTCCTCTGGTCTCGACTCATCTAGAATCTTCTCATACTTGGACTTGTTCTGCACCTCGAACAGTGTCAAGTAGTCATTGACTGCCTGCCGGGTGGCAGTTTCAGCTGGCTGTTCCCTAGCGATATCTTCTGGGGTGCCAATGAGAATGTCAGCCATGGTCAATTGTCCATCTGCCAGCATCAACCGGTCATAGACATCTTGAGGGGTGACAAGAAATTCAGCACAATCTCTGCGTATAAAGATAGTAAACCCACGTCGTCTCGAGATGGCTCCAAATCCCATATCACATGGTTGGGAGAACACGACCTGCAGGGAGCAGCGGTACTCACTGCAGCCTTATTCTATCTAATTCATTCTCGTCATCCCAAATAGCTAAACCCTATATACAGACATGCTATACACGTATATATATATGTATATTTTTTTAAACATAAAAAAATGACAAATGACATTCAAACAAATAATATGTTCACACCCTGGTCCTCGCTGTCATACAAATCGCTCATCTGGTCGATGATCGTGTTTGTCACTGTTCCACTCAAGACGTTTTCGGAAATCAGAACCTTGGGTCGTAGAACCTTCTTGGTGTGGTTCAGATTCGTGAGGGTCACCTGAGCAAGATGGCAGATGAGATAGGAGTGCGCAACGTGACAAGTCACAGGACATGGGAACTGAACACATGACATAGGAGAGAGCAAAACACCAAGGCATATGACATGGAAATACGTTATGTATAATTATAACGTACATCTTGAATCTTGAATCATGCACCAGCCCCAATCCCCTTGAACTGATGGAGCCGAGATTCTTTCCGAGTTGCCCCATCGTCTGCTGCTTTGGAGCCCTGAAGGGAGTCGTCAGTGCACGGGCTGGACAGGAAGCATAGGTCCACATCAGAGGGCAAGCGACACTGCTTCTCATGCTGAACACAATGCGCAAATGGCACAAAGTTGGCAGAAGCTGCTGCTTGACAAACGTCGTCAAAGTTCTTTGCTTCCGAAACGGCAGCTAATCCCTTCAAATCGAGCACATCCATCTGGTTTCTGAAGACACAAGCACTTGGGTAATCTCTGCAGAGGACAGCCTGACACTGCCTCACTTTCTCCGTGAAGGAAACCTGACACTTGCAATCAATGACTGCGTCAAAAACCATATTGCATGGTCAAAGACAAGACCTGCACTAGTGGATGACATAGGATTATTGCTGCCACTGTGTGAATTCGAAAAAAACGATGCTTTCAACAGCAACACCTCACCGACGAAGAGGCCACACTAAGGTTCGAACTTCCTTCAAACGAGGCCGGAAGGTCGGCTGGGACTGCAAAGCTCTCGCTGCTTGGGACTGACTGCATATCCCGCTAAAGCTAGAAACCACGTTCAAGACCCGCTTTTCCGATGCTATTGGGGTGCCGAAGGCATGCACTTCTTCCAAGATGCCCGACAGCTTTTCCATCAACTTCCGTGGCCGAGAAAAAGCTTCCTCCAAAGAAATCTCTGGTTTTGTTCCGGGATACATTCTCCTTCGCTTTGCTGGCCACCGTATCAGCTTGACCTCTGCAGCCTGCAAACAGAGCGGCTACATGAACTAGCCCTACTCCTGTGTCATGTGTGCATTTGTTTTGTAAAAGGCATGTGAGATCATCACTACTCCTGGGTCATGTGATTTGCAGTAAACAACATCCCTTCATATGTTTATAAGTGATACTATATAAGTGATATATCAGCCCAACCTTGTCACTAGCCTCCTTGGAAGCTGGGGAATCC